TTTGTCAAAGGCTGCGTTTGTGCACGTGTGTTTTTTTTTTTTCTCGTCCTGACGGTTTTATGTCAAAGTGACACATTCATGGATCATTGTGGCTCATCATGCATATGCAACCGTCTCCCATCCCCAAGTGGCAGCGCGGTAATAGCCGATGCCATGGCGGTAAGTGTAAAGCCTGAGAAACAAGGATAAAAGTATAAACAAATCTGCGATAAGAAATATGACATGGCTATCAGCATGCAGAATAAACCCAGCCCTGCGAGCGCAGCACCCAGATTAATGATAAATTACGAGGACCTGGGCTTGTTTATAGCTCTCATTTTCCTTGCTGCACCTGCTCATATTCTCTTGGCCTAGAGCAGCCCCCTCTTTCTTTTTCTATTTTCTCTCTCCATCTCTCATGCTCCTTCACNCGGTAAAAAAAATGAGCGAGGAAAAGGAGGACAATACCGGCGAGAATGAAGATTTACTTCCAAAAAGAAAAGCAACATCTGCCATCTGGAACTATTTTGGATACAAAAAGGTTCTTCTCTTCTTCATTCACAGATGAACCCCCTTATTTGAGGGTAAGCAACATATATTATCATGACTTGTTGGATCTTGACTTAAGGTATGATGAGTCAACCAGTTAAGATCCAGACGTCCGTGACTAAAATCCTTCATCCGGTTAAACATAGTTAAAAAAAACGCAATATATATATCGCAGGGTGAACTAGGTTTACCTATCGTAATTTTTTTTCAATATCGTGCAGCCCTAATTAATACAGTATACGATATGATGATTTAAATGACCAACACCCAAAATTATAAAATGAGTTCAATTTTTTTTTTTATGTTTACTTGGCGGGAGGACTTTTTTGTAATTTCAAATCCTAATGAAGATAGTAATATTAACTATCTCAATATAGACAAAGACACCTCCAGCATTCTATTTTATTAAAATTTAAAAATATAAATATTTACAATTTTTGCAACAGATGCGTCAAAGTTGTTTTTATCAATACTACACACAGTATGTGAACTGTAATCCAGATCATTGAAATAAAATAATATATATAATAATAATCAAGGTTTCAAGGCTTTTCTTGTCATTGTCATAGCTACGGTGTAGATATGACAATGGCAATCTTAGATCACAGGCTCCTCCAACATTGCAACACAATGAACAGACACAAACAGTACAAGTAAATTAAATTAAATAGAATATAATAGAAACAGAATATGATAGAAACTATGCAGAATAGTCTATACAGTAATTAGAATATTGGTATATGATATATGTGAGTTGCAACCAGATGAGTGTTATGTATGTTCTTTCAAAAGTGCAGGTGTTTAACATTCGTATGGCCTGTGGGATGAAACTGGATGAAAATGTCAGTTATTGTAAAAATGGTGTAATCTAATGTTTTAGGGATTGAGAGAATAAATACTAAGCAGGCCTTTCATAGGTTTATTTATGCCTTAAAGTGCAATGTCCTTTTACATGAAGAGCAGTTATTAGCTTTTCATTTTTAAAAGGTTTTAAGTGAATCACAGACTCCCAGGCAGCTTCACACTCTGAACATCATCTCACCGCGGGCTGAGCATCATTAGCATGGCAGACGCCTCCTCTAGGATAGAAGGAGCGAGCGAGCGAGCCTAACCCTCCGCACAGAGCCAATCTCTCGCTCTGGTTTCCCCACAGCAGCACGACACCTGCCAAGAACCCTTTCAAGAGGATTTCTGCTGCTCCACTGATGCACAGAAAGGGAACTTCCCCGTGGGCTCGCATGGCCACTCCTCATGGTGGAGGAGGTCTCCGTTTACAGAAAAGCCTTGAAGCAGAAAGTGTCTGTCTTAATAGGAATTGGACAGTTGAAAATGTGTTAATCTAAATGTAGGACTATTTGTCATTTAAAATACCAAAGATAAATTGTGTTTTTGGAAGATGTTTTGAAATGTTTTAAGGTTTATACAAATCTATTTACTGAAAGAGCTTCCTAATATGGGTGATGTTGATCTTAATGAACACAACCATCAGAAATAGTTAGAACTTTAAATTGAGAAATGTCTGGTTTTAAAAAAGACAGATCATTTGGAGAAAAAAAAAATACTGAGCGGCAATCTGGATTAAAGAAAATCTGAATGAAAATGTATTGTTGGATTATTATTTTTAACGCCACTTTCCATTAAATATGATTCAATTACACCGGCTTGGACCAGATGAATCCAATTGGAAGAGTTCTTTAATAAAAAAGGAAAGATAAAAAGATGGATATTCCTTCAAAACTTTTGATGGCTGCATATAAAGATGATGCAATGACATGTAGTGCTTGTTTCACATTTAATGAAAGATTTCTCACCAATTTCTATTTTTGGGGATGATGTTTGAGGTCAGTTAAACCCTTAAAATTCAAAACCCCTGTCACATCAAGAAGAAACAAGGACATTTTTCACAGCACTAGAGTGAAGACTAAATATGTTTACCATTATCAAAGCAAACAGTATCCAATATATTACGATAGGCATCAAGAAGACACGAGCAATTTCTTTTATTTGTTTATTTCTATACACTGCATGTTTCTTATGCTGGTGTTATGTATTGTATATTATTATTATTATTTTCATTTCCAATAGGCATTTAGAAATGTGTCTCGTCGACAGTGTAGCATGTTTGCGGTTTGGGCTGTGATGAGTACCACAGTACATGACAGATATGCTTGAGGGATTATATTTGAAATTAAAGTTGACATGTAACAGCAGGAAACATGATATATACATCCCTGGCCGCTCGGATTCAGGTGGAAATACACGTGTTAGGAGGCAGAGCAATGAAGCGTAAAAGTATTAACACATGACTTTAAGCTTCCTACATGCAGGATCTGTGTGGGATGTGCATTGGTGCGTGTTTATATCTGACTCACTCCAAAGCCCAATATGATCAAAGCCGGGCCTGACTGAGGCGGACAGACAGTGAGGACACGGTGAGATGGATGGAGGCCAGTCCTCACATCACACGTCTGCATGACAGGCATACTAATTATTTGGCAATCAGCTGATAACATACAAACTCCAGCAAGGTCTCGGTACATGTGTACGCAATGGCTTCTTTGGGTTGCACAGGAACACCTGTTCTGCCATATTTGGAAACAGAAGGCCTGCGTTTCCCTCCCTCTCACTGATATGAGAGCCACACATCTGGGCATGTTTGCGCCGGCAGGTAGTGTTGTGTCATGAGGCCAGCAGGTTGCAGAGAGGCAGAATAATAACCACAACAAGGTTTTTTGTTCAAAGCGGCAGCAGGTGGCTTTCTCCGAGCTGGTGAGTGTTACATCTCTGATATGTTGAACCAGGATCAATATTGGCTCCTACATTGCAATTTCTAGTTTGATTTTGACATAATCCCATTTTTAGATGCCAGCTAATGTTAATCGACTTTTACTAATAGCCTGTACCTGAGCATATACCCATCCTCCACCTTAACAAGCCAGCCAGCAAGTAGCCTTAGCCGACTTCAGCTACCACGTTGTGAGAATAAAAAAATAACAAACATTCTTGCTAGCAAATTACGAGTTGCATTTACTACATTTGGTTTTCTCAAGGTCATTATACTATCATGTTGTTAAAAGCAGTATACTATTCATCTTTTGTATACTACATTAAGGGGGAAATCTATAGGTTTTGTCTCATTTAAAAACAAAGGGCACCGTTTCCTCTTTCTTTTTTTATTGTTTTGGCATTATTTTTATTAAACGACTGTTAATACTGGCTGTATGTTGACCTTATTCCCAAGTGAATGAGGCTTTCCAGTCCCATGTCTTGTTTCACAATATACATATTTTGATACAACGCTTGATATCCTCCTAGATTTTGAATATCTTAAGCTTGTGAGTGGGTTAGGGTCTTTTAGTGGTTTCAAAGTCATGACATTTTCTTCATTTACCTGTTCAAGCTGTTCTATTATTTGTCTTTAGCTACCTAGTAATTATATCGACACAGCTGAAGATTATTTCCCAAAAGTGTCATTGTGTAAATATTTTTGTAAAAGCATCAACGGTCAAGCCTATTGCCACAATATCGATAGGCTATTGGTCAAAATGATAGTGGTCAATTCTTCTAATCTCCCAGCCCTTTGTTGAACAAGGAGGACTGTGCAGGGACGCAGCTGGTTTCCACAGAAACGTATCATAACACACGGGCAACTGAGAGACCTACTGCTGAGGAAATCCTTGCTAAGCCTAGCTAAGACAGAAACAAAAAGTCTCCAACTGGTCAACGACCAAGCTGACAGAGTCCTCACAGGATCAAAGAAGATGGATTATATATCACAGAACTGATTGGATCACTCCTTCCCACCTACTGTATGAGACTTTAAGACAGGATCCCTCAGATCTCTCCATTCTTGTTTCCCTATGCACTCAATGATGCCTTTTACATTCCCCAACGCTGATTACTTAACCACTTCTTGCTTTAAGAGAAACTTGAATGGTGTCTGAAATCTCAGCCCACCAAGCTCCACTTCTTGGGAATAATCTCCTGCTGCAAATGTTATTGGAAAGCTGGGTTTTTCTAGACTAAAAAATAAATTGTTCTCTTCGCCGCAATCTTTTTTTCTTATTTACAGAGCTGCACTGACTGTTTTATCTCGTTGAAAGGCAACTACCTCGGTCGTACCGTATGATGTATAGTTTTTGAAAATGACTAACCACAACCTTTTTTTTCATTCCCTTCATGACACACAGAAGGAAGTTTGCATCTACTCACGGACAAGAGGCTCGTTCTCACTCATTGAACAGGGCAAGCTTCTTATTTTTCAATTAAACATTGCTGTGTTTCAAATGTATTTGTTCATGCTTAAAACCATGTTCCAATGATGATGCATCAAAGTTAGACATCCAATATATGAACACGACAAAACAATTTAGATTGATAACACTACAGGCAAGATGAAAAATGTGTATTATTTTTATTTTGGCGTTGAACTGTCCCTATAAAACCCTTGTGATATTGAACTATTGTTGGAGACCTGCTTCTCTCCATTGACGGCTGCTCCATCTCCCCGTCCACTGAAGTCCGCAACCTGGGAGTCATCCTGGACACCACCCTCTCTTTCCAGGCGCACATCAAATCTGTCACCAAATCCGCCTTCTACCACCTAAAAAACATTGCCAGAATCCAGCCTTCACTCTCTGACTCTGTGGCAGAAACTCTTGTACACGCCTTCATTACATCCCATCTTGACTATTGCAATGGAGTCCTGTCCGGGGTTCCCAGCAAAACCCTGGATAGGCTCCAATACGTCCTACACCAAGCCATGGCACCATATCACCCGTAGGAAAGATAATGGAGAGAATAATGTTTAATCAAATACAGAAATACTTTGAAGGTAACAATCTTAATACTGCTTATCAACATGCCTTTAAGATTGTTACCTTCAAAGTATTTCTGTATTTGATTAAACATTATTCTCTCCATTATCTTTCCTACGGGTGATATGGTNAAAGCACAAACAATTCCATCGGTTTCCAAAATCCTTTCTGGGCCCATAACCTTTTGGCGCAGCAGTCATTACCAGCAAAGGTCTAAATAGCCTTGGACTAATACGACGGAGGGGATTCAGTCAGTGTCATGTGAACTACAATGCAAGTGTGTGGCGTCTTTTATTCCTCCGTAGTATTAGTCCAAGGCTATCTAGACCTTTGCTGGTAATGGCTGCTGCGCCAACACAAGCCAAAGACCAAATGTGAAAAACAAGTGTGCCTAGTGTGCTAGCTACCTTTAGGCTAAAGGTTATTAGCTACAGAGTGGCAATATCCAAATACGCATGCATTTAAAGATCAGCTTGTTTTGGGTAAAATGTGGTTTAATTAAAGGTGGGGTGAGTTTGAGAAACCGGCTCGAGACTTTTTGTTATATTCCATGGAATGCTCTTAACATCCCGATAGCAATGAATATCTTAAGTGCTTTGACAAAAAATGTCATCTGTGGAAGCCGTAGTTCTGTAAAAAGCACGACCAATCATTTAAGCCGGCCCGGCTAAAAGAACTGGATGGCCTACCTGCCTGTCAGCCTTCCATCTGTGCACAAACTTATCTCGTGCCCTCATTGGTCATGTGCGTGTTTGTGCGTGTTGGAGGAGGGGCTCTGTAAGGAAGTGGCAGATTTTTTTCCGGTTGTGTATTTTCAAATTCTAGCGCACTCGAGCTGGTTTCTCCAAAATTACCTACCCCACCTTCAAGGGTAAAGTTCACATGCATGAACATTGAAACCTATTTTTAGTAACTGTGATTGATCTTTCCAGTTCAACCCTTATCTAAATCTCATGTGAGTGATAAGGAGGAACATGTACTGACCTGAGTCTGTGCAAAAATGCTTTTCTAATTTAAATCAAAGCTAATATAAGGAATTCAGAAGTCTGAGTTGCTTTAAATCAATAATCTTCAGAGGTCTTTTTTGCACTTAATTCCTTTTTTGCATGACAATTTCTCCATCAGCTCAGCGAGGAAACACTGTCTGAGGATACAAAGAGGGAGCTTTATCTTATAATGAATGTTATAACTGTGTTAGATGGCTGCTTAACTCTTATTGCCTTACATGAACTCCAGCTTTACTTAATTATGCGTTTTTGTACCTTTGGAAACCTTTGACAGGAAAAGTGATTACAGCGATTATAAAACTATCCTTTTAGTTATAAACAGATAAACCACTTCAATATTGTTTCATGATCATTTCAATGTTTTTATTTCCAAATTGTAGCCCCGAATATATTTAGAGTTTGATTTCTATTCATCTTTGAATGTGGAAACTGTTGAAAAACCAATCTCCCCAACAAGTCAATGTATTTAACAGCCAACAGTGATAAAACATCCCGAAAGAAAGAAGTCACTTACATTTCCAACGTGTAGAGTAACTTAAGCTACTAAATGGACCTTGTGGTTGAGTTGTTTTTTCAGCCAAATGTGGTGTTTTCTTACCATTTTTGAGTTTCAGATACTGGTTCATTGGCCTCATCTCTTTGTAGCATTCATCATTGACTATTAAATATTTAAGTTCTGTATCGGAAATGAGTTTATATAAAAATGTCAGTGTTTATTTGAATGCAGTCTGATACCTAAACAGAGAAAGTTCAACGAGTGGTCTGATGCTATGACATCCAGAGAATAAACTAATCAGCTCTTATTTGATTTGCAATCAAGTCCCAAGATGGGCTTTTGTGAAATACAGATGTACCTAGAGGAGGAGAGAAACCATAAATCTCATTATCCTTCAGAGTCTGTTTCACTTTGTCTTTCAACTGCTCCGATAATGATTACATTTGTGTTGCGTTTGGGAGGGGTTCCACATGTACAGTTGTTTGTCTGAAGGTTTTTTGAGAAATGGCCAAAAATGAACAGCTTTTACAATAGAGTCTTGTCGTTGCAAAGGTTTTGTGAAACATTAGATGTTTACATTATTGTCAATGTTGCAGAGGTTTCATTTAAACATGTTCTGGAGCTGAAATGTTTTGCTCATTAGGTTTTCTCTGAACCTAAAGTAATCTACGCAAGCTATCGGAAGTAACACAAAGGCAGAACATCACTGATATTGTTGGTTTTCAGTTTGATATCTCGGACACATTTCAGTCTTTATTTAACCAGAATTATAGAGTTATATAGGTTCCAGCTGAAAAAGCAGTATTGAAATATCTCCTTTTGTGATTTAGAGGGGATATGCCACTTGGGTAAGAGATTTGCAAAAATCACTGTCCATTGTTATCCCGGCTCGTTTCTATCAATCTTTATCAGTCTTCCGCCTCCTATGAACACTGCCAGCCCTAAATAGCAATTTGCCAGTTTGATCAGTTAAGAGCTTTTGACAGCGGTGTCATTGAGCAACTTTGCGGAGATGCAGCGGGGATCACTCCGTTGCCCTCGTTGATACTGTACTCTGTCGGTGGGATTAGCTTCAAATCCTCTCCCCCTCTAAAATCCTCTGAAGGGAGAGCCGTCATTGAACCTGCTGTAACGGATCTCTCTTCTATTTTTATTCCTTCTGCTCTTAGTCAGCCTTGGTGCGAAAAACATCAAAGCACATTTGTAGTGAAACCAAACCTCTCTTCTAACTGGTTCACAGCTGAATTAATTATTCATTCAGATTAGCGTGCGCCAACACGAACCACAGGAAGATAGGAAGAGACACACAAACACGTATACAAATTCTCTCAAAGTGCTTCAGAGAAGTGAAGGGCAGATAATGAGAGCGCTCGCTTTGTTTTCACTCTGCTTAAAAGCTCTCACCTTCCAGAAACGTCCCAAAGACCACAATGCAGAGGTTCACAGCTCAGTCCAACTCCGAGGTGTTTTTAAGCAGATTAGTGCGTGTTTTGACGCAGATAAGCAAACAGATTACCAGACTTTCTCTGCGGTGGAGTTAGGAGTTCAGGCCTGTAGTGTCTGATGTGTAATTGGGCTCCGTGCAAGACAAACAACATCATACATAATCGCAATCACATTTAAATTAAACAATGCAAAGTGCTACAAATGGAGTTAATGGGGTAGTTTATCAGCGACATATAAACTGGATTAGGGCACATAATGTGGATGAGTCATCCAGGTCATGGATGAGTTTTGTCTGGAGCAGAATCCTATTTTATAAACAATAAATTAGCCTTATCAGCAAAAACGAGTGCATTAAAGGCTTCTTGAATATTGAGTGTGGTGACTCAGCTACCAGTAATGCCTTTTACTGCCATTCAAACACACACTCTCTAAGTTTTTGTTTTGTTTATATATATTGTCAATGAAATGACAGTGCTTCGTGGTTAGTGGAATTCTGTAATTAGACAATTCAAATAAGTGGTTTTGCCACAACTCAAACATCATTCCAAAATTGGACTTCAGTTTGAAAAGAGAGACTGTATAGGTTATTAATACCAACCAGTAACCACCTACACATTTTTATCTGGCCTCCATGCTGATGTTTAGCTGTCATTTCCTGCACGTTTGTGAAGTCAAACATGATGACAACTATCCAGAATGGCATTCCTGTTCACTGGCAATTGGAAAGTAGTAAATAACCTTTTAAAAATTCTCCATGTTTGTGGGAATTTAGAATGAATAAGTGTTCAGTGGACCTACGCCATGCACATTTCTGCTGTATGGATGCATGAGAAAGTAACGGCAGGATAAAACTAAAAGTAGTCTCACCAAAACGCATCTCCACACTGAAGCAGCTGTATTTTCCTGGGGGAATATCGTGCTGGTTTGAATAAATGTTTGTAAATGAGGTATTTAAAAGGGGATCCTTGTTCAGACATAATGCTTTTTAGGGCAGTGTTGTACTGAAGATGGCTGCTGGCTACTATATGCAGCTATATTTAGAATGAAGAAATTGCAGTAGTTCAATATTTATGTTTACATATCTCCCTTTCACGTACTCGTGATGTTATTCCAGTCAGTGCCAGTAATTCATTTCCTTCTGTCTCTCTCACGCATTCCTCATTCAGAAGCTTCCGGAATAAATGGAAAACGTTGCATGCCAAATAAGAACAGTCACATCAATCTCCTCATAATTCACACAAAAAGAATATCACTGTGACGCCATGAATAATTCACACTGACATAAATGTAAAACATAGAAAAATACTATTACAACCATATATGAGCACTTCTGTTAAAGCTATGATTCACAAGTCACCAGTCGGACACCCTGCCCACCACAACTGACACATGGAATTATTTGCAAATGAAATGCAAACAAGTTGGACAGGAAACAAGAGAAAATGGATGAAACTTGTGTCCTCCCGCAAATAATGTCTGCACCACAGATCAGCGCCCCCTGCAGGGCTCAGTGTTACTGACAGGCCCCATAGAGGCAAACAGAGATTAAGAACAAGAGGTCAGAGGGTCAGCAGACTGTGGAGCTCCCCTACTGAAGTCCATCCATCACCTAACACTCACACACACTCACACACACTCACACCTGATTCCTATAGTGAGTATGAAGGGGGGAAGTGAAGGGAAGTTCCCTCAAGTTTTGACTTAAGGACTTATGGTTGGATTTTATGTTCAGATCCAGTAATGCTAGAGGAGGCCACCATAAACACAATTGTATTACAATAATAATAATAATAATAATAAATGATATTTATATAGCGCCTTTCAAGGGACCCAAGGTCGCTGTACATGGTGGACAAACAAAACAAACAGACAATCAACGGGCAAACCAAATAAATAAATAAAGGAAGCCGGGGGACCAGAAAAGGGCTAGGGCCCGATGGCCAGGGTGAACAGGTGTGTTTTTAATGATGATTTGAAGATGTCCAGGGAGGCAGCATTACGGATCTCGGCAGGAAGT